GTCTTCCAGGACATCCGGGACTGCCCGGGGCCGCTCAGCGCCCTCACGGAGCTCAACGCCGCCGTGAAGGAGAAGTTCCGCCACCTCCGCGGCCGCATCCAGGTGGGGCTCCCGGCCGGGGGCCGCTGGGGTGACCGGCCTTTGCTCCAGGCCCGCTCCGTGCGGCCTGCCCTGGGGCGGCTGGCGGGGGGTGGGGAGTCCCGGCTGTAGGGAGTTAGTTTATCGGATCAGTCTGCTGTTAATTTACTCCCTGGCCTGGGGTGGGGTGTGCGAGTGGTGGCAGGAGTTGTTGATCAGATTTTCGTGTTTCTGCTTTCCGCCAAAGGAGCTCGAACAGATGGCGAAGGAGCAAGATAAAGAGTCGGAGAAACAAGCCTTACTGCGGGAAGTGGAAAACCATAAGAAACAAATGCTCAGGTGGGTTGGGCAGCCGGTGCTGTTTACAGATCCCCTGTAACCAGGGATAATAGACTTCTGTACAGCATCTTTCAGATCCCACTTGGCAAACACTGTCACTGGCTTGGTGCTGTTTTGCCTGAGACCAAGAAATGATACAGGAGGGAAAGGGTAGGGCTCCCTTCTGCTTTCCTCCCCTGCCCTGACTTCCTAACCATGGTCTGTCCCTTTGAGCAGTTGGGCATGTAAGCAGGTGGCTTAAGCCGAGAGTCTGTCATTTGACAGCTGGCACAGTTTTCTTCTTCTCTTGCTCCATAAATGATAAACTTAGGGGAAGAAATGACAGGACAGTATGTTGTTATTCTGTGGTATAATATAGAGAAGGTCCATGCACGTTTCTGGGGTGCTTATTTACAGTGGTGATTGTTTTGTGAAAGTTGTTTTCACTTGCAAGGTGTTACCGTCACATTACAATGTTGCACTCTTGTGTTTTCAGCAATCAGGCAGCTTGGAGAAAGGCAAATCTAGCTTGCAAAATTGCTATCGACAATGCTGAGAAAGATCAACTGCTGCAGGGAAGAGACTCGTTAAGGCAAAGGTATTAGACCGTCCCACTGTACAGTCTGAGATTTGAACAGTGTATGCTGTATTCATTAGTTCTAAATGGAAGTGACATAATGGTTTGAAGTTACTTGGTTGTATCTGGAACATAGCTTTTCTTTTATTAATGCATTTATTTTTGGTGGGGATTTAAACTGTTAAGGTTTCTGATAATTTCAGTTTTTCTTGGTGTTGGCATGTGTAAGCGGAAAAGGGGATAAATTAGCTTTCATAGTTTTTCTGAACAACTTTTACATTAATTCCAGTCAGAGTAATAAACAAGTAATGGATCAATATGCAGGCTGTTTTCATGTGCAAAACTGGATGTAAGCTTATATAATTTCTGTATGGAAAAGTTGATGTGTTTAGTATCGTGAAGCAACAAATGGGATGCCCAGCATTATAGAGTGGTGGTTTGTATCAGTGCTTCCATACCAGCTCATGAAGTTGTACAGCCATGGATGAGTAAGTGGTGAAATACGGGCTGCCATGAGCAGTTGTTTTGGCTCATGACATGAATGTTATTAATGTTTTGTGATTTACTTTTTTTATTGTTTAGTGAAGATAATCTGAATTTCTCATGCAGTAAAAACTAGTTATGTCTTTTGTACATTGACAGAGGTGTTTGGGGCCAAATTCTGTTCTAAGCTCCCTGGCAGCAGTGTTTTCCCCGCAGTGCCCAAAGATGTAATTTTATCCCTTCCTGTTTTACTTTTTCCCTTTCTTTTTCAGGAAGACTACAAAGGAAAGTCTGGCAGAGAGTGCAAGTAACATCACGGAGAGTCTGATGGGCATTAGCAGGATGATGTCACAGCAAGTCCAGCAGAGTGAGGAGACCGTGCAAACCCTAGGTACAGCTGTTGTTTGGGTGTTTGGGTATGGACGGGATGATTGAAGCACCTTTCACCAGCTCTGTTAGGATGGGGAGACACAAATTGATGTGGTGTGGGGCATAGTGGAAACCTGCTTTGCTGTAGGAGAGCGTACTAGGATCGTAATTAAAGGACTGTCCAGCAGAACTCCTCTAACATAATGTCATTTTGGACATAAACAGAAAATAATGCTGTACGTTGTGTGGAGCTATTAGTTGGAGTTTCTGTTTCATGATTATGAAAAGGAAAAGAGGGCAGGATGAGGAGCTTTTGTTTTGGTTTCACATAAAAGCAATTGTAAAAGCAATGTGAGTTCACAGGGTGCTAAAAGCGTGTTTGGTTTTGCTCTGTGCTACTGTCCTGGCACGCATTTGGTCATAGCAGAGAAAACAAAAGTGTAGATACAAGTCCATACGCAGAGGAAGCTTAGTATGTTTCAGAGGTATGAAAACAGAGGAAGACTATTTTCACCCAGTCTCCAGCTGGGATGACTAAGAGATGAAGAGATCAAGTGACTTGAACCCGAGGTCACTTGCTCTGTCAGCAGTGCATCAGGGACTGTGAAACCAAGATTTCACCCAGTTCTTTGGCTTAGACTCCTAGGACAATAAATCAAGTGACCTGTCAGAACTGGTGATTCATGAAGCATTTAGAAGTTGGATCTGTGTTGCCTGGGCCTCTTACTAGCTGTGCTTTTGGGCAGAAGAGAGAACAGTTTAAAGACGAGGATAAATAGCACAACTTTTGCCCTCCTTGTTTTCTGCCCCCATCTGAGGATGGCAGCGGGTTGCGGTTTGTTCATGCAAAAGTAGCATGTTTCTTCTCCCATTAAAAAGACAGTTTGGCAGACACTTTTTCACTCTGTTTCTGACTGAACAGCACTTGGAGTTCATCAAGGGAAAAACTACCAAAGGTCATTTACAAAACCCAGCTGCAAATTCTGAATCAGTAGTTAGAATTTCCTTTTTTCTGAGCAAGTCCTTTCCTAGTATGCAGTGAATATATGCGGCTGGGAAGCAGGGAAGCTCTGCTTTGCCATTAACAATGGGAAAGGAGTTTTCTGTTTTCACTTGGATCAAAATGCCTCTTTAAGATGGGATGTAATTGTTTGCAAAATATTACAGACGTATTCCTGCTATGCTTGTTTTTGTGAACCAGGCAACATGCTTGGAGTTCGGCCTTTCTTTAATCCGTTCAGTACAGAGTGATACACCAGCATTGACTGTCGTACGGGGTGTGCGTGCTGTAGTACAACAGAAAGGGGACTCCTGGGCTCTTGCTTTCATTTAGTGATTTGAGAGGAGGAAGGCTGAGCAGTTTGGGGCGTGCGTTTGTTTGTTTTCTTACAGGGAAAGACAAGTTGAAAGGGACCGATGTTCCGTCTTGTTGTTTTGGCACATTCTCAAATTCTGTCTTTAGTTGAGACCAATCAACACACTTTTCCTGTAGTTGATTTTTCTCCTTTTTTATCAGAAAAAAACCCCAAAATAATTATGTTTGTTAAAAATAACTATTAAAAACTGTTTAAATTGTTTGAGCTGAATAATTAAGGATCTCTTACTGCTGCTGCATGTTGCGTTTTCACTTTCTGCAACCCCATCTGAATCACAGTGATTTACTGCTTGGGCTTGGGGGAACAGTTTCAGTTGTGCAATTAATATATTCAAATAACAACCAGTCGTGTTGCTGCTAGAGCTCATGCTGATGGTGATCTCCTCTCATAAATTGGTGCTTCTGGCACCATTCTTATTTCAGTGTGCTTCCAGCGAGCTCTTGGGTAGCACCGACTTATAAAAAGTATGGACTAGATTTGATCTGGTAACCTCAAAATGGGAAGTTCAGGAACAGCATGTAGTGCCTTTAAGCCGTTCAGTACTCTTATTTTGCTTTGCATTTTTCCTCAGCACATCAGGACTATTGGGTTGTGAAAGCTTCTGCAAGAACACAGTCTGCCTTTGTCTGCCCATAAGTCAGTCTGACCCAGAAGGATCTCATGGGCACTATCTGTATTGCTAAATATTGCATGCTTATATCCTTTGTCATGTATTTTTGAAGCGCAACCAACTGATTGTTTGTTTCCCCCCCCCCCCCCCCTTAATTTCAGCCAATTCTTCACGAACCATCCTGGAAGCAAATGAAGAATTTAAGTCCATGTCTGGGACAATTCAGTTGGGGCGAAAGCTGATAACAAAGTACAATCGCAGGGAACTGACGGACAAGCTGCTAATCTTTCTCGCCCTTGCCTTATTCCTGGCCACGGTGCTCTATATTTTGAAAAAAAGACTCTTTCCGTTTTTGTAAAATTCCAAAGCTAAACTGAACTATTATGAAAGACCAGAAAGAGATAACGTAATAATGGTAAGGCTTTTAAATGAAGTAATAAAGGGATATTGCAATAGCTGAAAGAACGTTAGAGGAGGCACGACCTTATACTGTCCTCATGGAGCGTGCAACCTGCTTAAGAGCTTAAATGAGCCCAAGTCGGGAAGAAGCAGGTAGATCAATGTGTGGAAAGAAGAAACACCAGTTCGCCTGTAGGTTTGGGGAACCAGACAAACACTTGAGGAACTAGGCACTCAAAAGTGCCAGTCTTAACTTTCAACCTCTCTTCGTTTTGCCTTGAAATTAACTTTTGTCCTTGGCTTGGACTGGAAGCTGCTTTGACGCCTGTGTGTAAGGTGCTGAGAGTACGAGGAAGGATGGAAAAGAGGAACTCACATACATTCCATTAATAAACTATTTATTGTATCCATATAAACTGAGTTTTGTTCAGAAACAAAGTCTAGTGGATTGAAAGAGCCTGAATAACTTCCAGTGTAAAAGTTCTGTTTCATACTTAACAGCAGTGGTTGCTTATGGATTGTTTTTTCTGGGAGCATAGCACACATGCAGTCTGGCTCTGTTCCTCTGGCCTTGGGAGAGCTCTGACCAAAGCAAAAATGGGAACCCCCTTTGTTACTATTAATTCAAGCAATATACTTGAGAATTGCATTGTCAATCTGTTGAAATCAAAAGCCTTTTTCCTCCTTTTCTTTACAAAATCCCACTTCATACTTTATATTCGCAAAATACTGCCAAGTCGTTTGAAAAATTTTCTTGCTTATATAGTTCATCTTTTCTCAGTTAGTAAAATCTTTTACAATCATGACCTTCCCTATCTCTTGTGCTTTAGTAATGGGAATTGATTTGCTTTAATAACAGAAAGCCTGCCCCACTCCATGTAGTACCTTGGAAGTACCAAAAACTGTACTGCAATGTTCTTAAAACCGATGTTGCCTTCCCCTCTAGAAATTGTTTCCTTACTTATTCAGAGCTGACTGGTAAAGTTGACATTCTGTTTAGGAAATTGTCACGGAGTGGTTAAATACTGCCTTAATTTAGTAGTTAGAAGTAAACTTTTTTAGAAGGCAGTACTACATATGTCCTGAGAAATACAACATCAGGCAAACTGCACTATATAGATTTATGTGAAATTTGGGTCGAGGTTACCTTTGTAGTTAGTTCTCAATTGTACTTTTGGAGAGAAGAGGTGACCAGTCAATCCGCTTGTCATTGTAACATTCATTTACTGGGTCTTACCAGTAGTCACGAGTTACCCTTTTGCTGGCAGCTGCTACAAGCTTGGTTCAGTACAGAAATGGCAGCAGGTTGTAGCAACCCAAACCAGAGTACAGGACAGTTGGAGTGGTGATTGTGTGGCTGTGTGCATAAACAAGAAGTGTTGGGATTTGTAATAGAGTTCAAAATCAAGGGATCTGCCTGAGGAGTTGGTACCTGAGCCTTTCTGGGGCAGTAACTGGGGTTTTGGAAACCTCTGCACTAGGACTGGGACATCCCGCAGAGGGCACTCCTGCGTGGGAGTCGAGAGCATTTTCCTGCCCTGGAATACACAGAGTAGACCGCTTGGATGTGGCTTTTTCCCTATCGTTTATTCATTGTGTTTCAGTGCAGCTTTTCCTAACAGCCTTTCCTGAGATACAGACTTGCACAAACATTGAAGTAAGTTGACAATGTTCATGTTCTGGTTTTGAATAAGAGAAATCACTTGGCTTTAAAAAGTTGCACAAAGTCAACGCATGTGTGCTCTTTAATAATAATAAAAGCCTTGCTTTGGAAGAAGCCTGATGAGCAGACTGCTAACCGAGGAGAGCATCGTGTAGGCTGCAAGTTGGGGCTGCAGCGGAGCAGGTTTCATCCAGCTCAGCGATGCTGCCTGTTGCATTTCACACGCCTCATCTCTAATGTCAGGCTCCTGCCTTCTCTGGAGTCCGCTCCTCCCTGCGCCCCTCTGCACAGATGTGTGCAAACATGCAAAGGGTGATAAAAGTCTGTCCCCTAGTCTTGGAAAATAGGGCTTTAAATACAGATATTTAAGACATGAAGATTATTTAGATTATAGATATATTTCAAATTAATTGCTGTGCAGCAGTTCCCATTTTCCAAACCAGCAGTGCAGTGCCGTTTTATGCAGCTTCAGAGCAGTCAATAAAACCCTTTTTATGGACTACGTACTGCTCCTAGGCCAGGTGTAGCAGTGGGGCTTTACTATTTTTAGCCAGCTTGAAACAGCCTCGTCTCCCTGAATCAGTACCTGCAGGTGGTCAAACACTAGCTGCAGCAGTATTTCCTCCCTCGGGCGGATGCAACTTAAAAATAGGTTGTTGCTAATCTCCGAGATACCGGGACGCTAAGCAGAGGAGAGAGCTCTGCTGTAAGCAGTGATGCAGCACGACTGTCTGCAGGAAGTTTCGCTGGGTTTATCTTTGCGACGTGCTCCTGTCAGAACGTAGATCAGACTTAAAAAAGCAGCAGCTTTCTCACAGTGCTGAGAATTTCAGTGGAGTTTGTTTTAAAGGGGTGATCTTTTGGGATAGGGACTGTAATGTAGCAGTTTGGGGTCTGTTGCTGAATGTCCTGGTTTTTGCTCTGTTCTCACCTTGTTACTGAAATTTTAGCTTTCAGACCTTGACCTGCTGGAACACTCTGAGAGCAAAAAATAACTTAAGGACCTTCTTTATGACATTTGTTTTCTGTTGCATCTGGATTTCATTAAAAAAAAATAAATCTAGTCCTTTTGTAAACATACCTACCTGCTCTGTATAAACTGACTGACAATTTACAGTCCCTACAGACAAGGGAAATAAGTGAAAAAAAGATCAAGGACAACTGGACCTTTTGGGAGAGGGGAAGAGCAAAATCCTCCCCAGGATGCAATGAGCTGATCTGCAGCACTTGGTACTGGAACCATTTCCTCCTTAGGCAGCCAGAAAACATCCAGGCTCCTGATGGGCCACAGACCTGAAAAGAAGTAATTAGTGGAGACAGTGAGATAAATGTTATTTCCTCTTTGGGGGAAGAAGGGTGATTTTGTGAAGCACCATCTCTAACATGCGGTGCCTCAGCAGGCAGCCTGGCTTGGTGACTGGGTGCTGGAGCAGAGACCCAGCTGGTGGTCGGTGCCTTGGATCCCTCCTGGGCATGGTGGGATGCCCCAATCGGCCCATACAGCCCACAGCTGGGCAGCGCTCAGTGGTGCTCACACACCCTCCCTCCAGGCTGCAGCATGGTGTCTGGCTTGCTCCTCACCTACGGACCTTGTTCCTGGCTTCAAGGTAGGTCTCTGTATCTGATCTTTGGAATACGCGAGTGAGAGCAATACTGCGGGAAGATGAGGTGCTCGTGCCTGGCTTTTTGTTGTCTGACACTCATGGTGTTTACCCAGGGAGCGTGGAAAGTTGGGCCTGTGCAGTTCTTACTTGTCTACAGGAGGATTTGTGTTTGCATTTTCTGCCTTTTGGGCAGCCTGCTGGTCTCTGTGTCTACTGCTGAATATGAAGATGGGGTTTGAGTCACGCAGGGTGGTATGTGTCTCGGGGTCTTGCTTTTGCCAGGTTGTGTTGTGAATGGTAAAAACTGGCATCACACCAATTCATTTGGAAGGGAGTAGTGTTTTCTTAGGTGCTTCACCCTTCAAGTTTGCCCTACAAGTGCAGCAGACCCATCAGGGATGGTGAGAAGAGGATGGCTTCTGCTGCCTTTGCACTTTTGGGCTTGGGTGTGTCTTGGGGGCTAAAGGTTGGAGCCCTCCTGAGGCCAGGACTGGAGAAGCAGAAGATGTTTGGGGAGCTCTAGAGGAAGAAAGAAAGGGGGATCTGGAGAAGTGTTCAGGGCTGTGCCAGAGAGTTCATACCCAGGAAAGCAAACAGGAGTGCTACTGGACCATTCCTCCCCGCCAGGCAGCGGATATCAGATGTGGTCACTGGAGGTGATAGTGGGATTCACTGGCACAAAACAGTTGCAGTGAAAATCTTTTTCCTTTGAAGAATTAATACTTGTTTAAAACAAAGAGTAAGGAACTACTCTGAGCTTAAAAAGGACCTGAAATCTCTTTGCCCTGGAGTTTAGGGGCTGAGACAAGCAGCTGGTAGCAGTCAAGCAGCTGTGGGTTAATGTACTCCTGCTCATCAGCTGAGTGGTGGTTAACTACCTGGGTCCTCCCGGCATAGGGGGCTGAAGCCACTTAAAGGACTGTGGGTGTTTTGCTGTGCAGCTGGAGCCACTTAGGCACGAGGATGGGGCAGTTCTGATGCCTCAGCAGATTTAGATGTTCAGAGCTTGCTGGTTTGTGAGAGTCTGTGTCAGGTCCTGCCTATGGAGTCCAGCCTACTGAGATCAGTCTGTTTTTTCTGAACACCTGTGGAAAGGGGGAAAATGCCTGGAAGTTGACCCTCAGCACTGTCAGGAGCCAGGCAGTGCTGTCGGGTGTTTAGCTGTGTTGCCAGCGTGTGGTTAGTGCAGATGCAGATGTAGATGTGATCCTGGTTTCCATTCCTATGTGTCCACCGTGGAAAGACCATGGGCAGGAGCAGGCGCCTGCTGGGTACCTCTGTTGCTGTAGCTGGGGTTGTGGGCATCTCCCCAGTACATCCCTGAAGTGTGCAGCATGAAGGTCACTTGCAAAGCATTTAGTTAACATGTGTTTTCAAGTCACCTTTTAGTAATTACAATAAAACATGGACCTGAGGGAAAGAATTGGAAATAGTTTTAAAATACGGCATAACTGTGCTGAAAAGACTGAATTGATTTGACTTACAACTATTTTGTTATTGTTTATAGTGTTAACAAATACAGAAATATTACAGGATAACTCTCTGTGGGAAAATAAATTGAGTGCAATGTTATTTGGTTTTTTCCCCCTCTAAGAATTGAGGGGAAATTAGGTCTCTATTTGAAGTTCTGCTTTTCAAATGCTTTCCACATAACTGGCTTTACCGAAATGGAAGGGTGAATTCATAGCTTGGAAGTTTCTAAAAATGTCTCTGCCAAATGTGCGTGGCTGCTATCGCATGCCAAGTGGTCCAGAGCAAGCCAGGCAAGTCAGGCTGGAATCTTCTGGGGCTGAGAATATCCAGGGGGCATGTGCATACTTGTCTGCAAATAGGTGGGGCTCCCCTTTGGAAGGGGGGAGGGTCAG